CACCAATCAGAAAGGATATATGCACCCCTATGTTCATAGCAGCACAATTTACAATAGCTAAGATCTGGAAACAGCCTAAGTGCCCATCAGTAGATGAATGGATTAGAAAACTGTGATACATCTACACAATGGAAAACTTATGCTGCTGAAAAAAGAAGGAACTCTTACCATTTTCAATGGCGTGGATGGAACTGGAGAGGAGCCTTGCCCGCTGCACTCCGCTCCCGCGCTCGTCAGGCCCCTCCCGCACGTCGGGCTACTGACCACTGGGAAGGCTTTGCTCCCGCTGGTCCGGCCTCCCGACGCCTTGGCCAAGCCGGCCGCAGCGCGCAATGCTGTTGGCTGGAAGTTGCAGTTCTTTAAGCCACTTCCACTGAAGCCACTCCAACGGTCCAAATAATTTATAGAAACATGATTATGTTTATAGAAAGATAGCGACGAGGTTGAGTAAGTCATAGGACAGCCATACATCTGAACATAGGAGTTGGCCTGCAGGGATGGGTGGTACACTGTTCAGGAAGTGCAAAATGCACATTGGTTTTAATAATATCCGGTTTAACTAAATAAGCCCTATAATATCTGTCCTGTAGGAGCAGAAGATGGGTAAACGAACTGCATTTGCCTCCAGGTGGGATTAGTGGGGAAGATGCATATTTTCTTTTAGCATTATGTATTTTCATTAAATCACTCATAACTAAAAAGAAACAAGAAGGAAATATTCGTATTTAGTTACGTTTCAGTGTCCCCACAACTTTTCCAGTGTCTGGGGGTCATTACAGTTTAGTTGTGGACAGTGGTGGGTTGAGGTTTCCTGTGGCCAGTTCATCTGTCCCATGCCCTAGTTCTGTGCATTAAAGAGCGGCCTGTGGGGAGGTGAGGGAGCCCACAGGAAACCTGGGGCTGACTAGAGTCTGCAATGGGAGCTCCTCATTCTTGGGAGTGGGTGTCAGAGCAAGGGCCTCAGGTTGCAGTCTCGCTGCTTTCACCAGCCTGGAGTGCACAGAGGAAGGAACGAACAGCATGAAGCTGCCCTCTCCGCCTGCAGCACTCTCTTCCCCAGGAGGAGCCAGCGTCTGCAGAGGATCCCACTCACAGGAAGGGCTCTGTCCTGGGCACTATGGTGCCAGTGCAGCTCTTCGGGGATAACGCCTGTGGACACGTGAACTGGACGGAATGCTTTGCTGGAACTTGGCTTTTGTCAGGTCATTCCACAGGCTCAGATGCCCCCGCTGCTTCGCATTCATCTACTGGACTAGCAGTCAGACCTACTACTTGTCAGCTTATTACTCACCACCTCCGAGACCTCAAGCAAGTTGTGTGAACCTCTGAGCCTTATTTGTAAAATGTGGACTATAATACCTGCCTCACAAGGTTGTCAGAACAAATTTAAATGAGAAAATACACATTTTACAGTGCTTGGCACACACTGGGTAAGCAATAAGGGTTGTCTTTTATAAACATACTACAGGCCCAATGCATGAAATTCATGCAAGAGTAGGCCCTGCAGCCCCGGCTTTGTCCAGGTCATTCTGCTGTTCAGCCGTTCGATTTGCATATTACACTTTTATTATAGATTGCTTAAAAATAATAAAATTCCAATGACTAAGCTTGTAGAGGAGAAATAAATCAAGGGATTTCGCCATTAACAGTTCAGTGACATTTTCCGTTTAAAAATCCAGCCCTGGCCCAGCTGATGTGGCTGTGGTTGAGCGTTGACCTATGAACCAGGAGGTCACAGTTTGATTCCTGGTCAGGGCACATGCCTGGGTTGCAGGCTCAATCCCCAATGGGGGGGGGGGGCGGTGTGCAGGAGGCAGCTGGTCAATGATTCTCTCTCATCACTGATTTTTCTATCTTTCTCTCCCTTCTTCTCTGAAATCAATAAAAATTACTTAAAAAAATCCAGCTTTGACCAGCCTGGCTCAGTGGTTAGTGTGTTGGCCTGCATACCATAGGGTCAAGGGTTTGATTCCCCCATCGGGGCAGTCAGAGGCAAGTACCTGGGTTGCAGGTTAAACCTTCCTGTGTGGGAGCCAACCAATCTATGTCTCTCTCTCTATCCCCTCCTCTCCCTTCCAATCTCTCTGAAAGATCAATGGAGAAAACATTTCTTACTCCTTGGGTGAGGATAGAAAGATAAATTGCCCAGCCGCCATGGCTCAGTGGTTTAGTGTCCACCTATGAACCTGGAGGTCATGATTCGATTTCCGGTCAGGGCACATGCCTGCTTTGTGGGCTCCATCCCCAGAGTGGGGCGTGCAGGAGGCAGGTGATCAATGATTCTCTCTCATCACTGATTTTTCTCTTTCTCTCCCTCTCTTCTCTGAAATCAATAAAAATATATTTTAAAAAAGTAAATGAAATAAAAATCCAAAAAGCCCCTTTATAGAGGAAGCATCCCTTTTTTCTGCCTATTCTCATCCTACCATTGGGGCTGAGTTTCTTGCATTTCAGTGCCTGTGGCAGAAGCAAGCAGAGAACTTGTACTAGGTCAACATCAAATTTATTAATTCAAGAATGTCAGTGAAAATTATTTTGAAATAATTCTCTTACCTAATTTAGTGAATATTAAGCAATCTAATTTTTTTTAATATATATTTTATTGATTTTTACAGAGAGGAAGGGAGAGGGACAGAGAGCTAGAAACATCAATGGGAGAGAAACATCGATCAGCTTCCCCCTGCACACTCCCCACCGGGGATGTGCCCGCAACCAAGGCACATGCCCCTGACCAGAATTGAACCCGGGACCCCCTAGTCCGCAGGCTGACGCTCCATCCACCGAGCCAAACCAGCTGTGGCTAAGCAATCTAATTTTTAATGTTCATATTAGATAAAATCTTGAGGAATAATTCAGGTTTTAATATGAATATTCAAACGAAGACGTTGATAAATGCCACTATTAAACAGTCGTTAAAATGAGGTTCTGGAATAGAAATCTCTTTACTGTCATGTGTTTTGGAAGCATGAAACATGCGTAGTTGCTGACAGTTGAATTATACTAGGGAGCTCAACACCACCGACAAACTTCCTTCATGACTCAAGGGAAACAAAATAAACTCAACTCAATACAATTAAAAACCATCCGCCTCTCATCCCTACCAGAGCGTCTGCCCTGAATCGGAAGCTCCGTGCATGGGTTATTAGAGTCCTATCTTTCAAAAAATAAATAAACAAATAAACGCAATAAAAAAAATAAAAATAAAAAAAATACCCCTCCCCCCCAAAAGAGTCCTATCTTTCTAGACATTCAGACTGAAAACAAACCCAATGTTCAGCGAAGCCCGGTGAGGGAGCTAACGGGAGACAATGTCCCTTATTAAACTTCCTGATAAGATGGGAGGATGGGCCTATAATTCTGGTAATTCCTCATGTCTACATTTAAAAAATATTTTTTTGAACTAGGGTATTTAAGCACCACCACCACCACCACCACCACCATTTCCGGGCACAATAAAAGTGAGCTACGTCTTCAAGGAGCCGGCAATCAGCCTTGGTCGCAGGAGCGGGGACCGAGAACAGGGCTCACCCATCCCGCCCGTGGCTGGCCGCGCTCTGACACACCTGCAAAGTACCTGGGCTTGACTGGGCTTGACTTCTGGAAACACATCCAGGAGCGAGGGCACTGGAAAACAGTTCTTTGAAACTCTCACATTTCGTGCAAACTGGGGATAGGGGATGACTTCAGGAAAATCTATATAGTTTAAAATATTTAATGTCAGAAAGTTGTTTTTTAAAACGTAGCAGCCTGAAAACTTGGGAGTATCAATCAAACAGCTGGGCCACCTGCTCTGGTCAGCCTGTGTCACCGACACGTGTCATCCCTCACCTGCCGCGAGATTGGACATTCAGATGGGAAAACACGTGCACTTTGACTTTAGCGGTGGTCTGTGTTTCTAGCGTTACCATCCTATGTTTACAGTACCGTGAAGTGAAAGAGCACAAAAACCAAAGTTATACTTAAATTAAATAGCATGATTTAATTTACTTGCTGCTTAATCCTGAATCCTCTTAAATTAAAAAAACAACAAAAGTTAAAATTAACTATTAACGTTAATGAATTAAACCTTCCAGAAAACATGAATCCAAAAGGAAATGTCCAACAGGTGTCTGAGCCACATGTTTTATGGCCTTTCCTGTATCGGCCTCGAACATTCTAAACATCAATGGGAAAAAAAAATTCTGTATCGAGTTTTTCAGTTTTATTCTTCTGGAGCACAATTTTCAGGCCTGTTACTGAGGACGGTCTTCCAACAGGTACACAATTAGCTCATAGGTGGACAGCACAATGGCCGTGTTTGGGATCTGCCGGATGAGCTGGGCAAAGAGTCCTCTATAGAAGGCAAGGTAGCCTTCTTCCCGGAAGACCAGCCGAGCGGTCTGGACAAAAGACTTGTACTTGGTGCCCTCCTCCCGCAGCCGCGTCCTGATCACTTCTGCAGAGAGAAACACACGCTTTATGTGACAGATAAATTGCATTTCTGGGCAATACAAGGAGAATTCAAAGCACACAGCTTTATAATTATCAACGTATACCTCTGCCCACGTGCCACCTAAAATAATAATCTATGTTAAGATCTCAAGAGATGCCCTGGCCGGGTAGCTCAGTTGGTTAGAGTGTCGTCATGATGTACCAAGGTTGCGGGTTTGATCCGGTCTGGGCACATATAGGAAGCAACCAATGAATGCATAAGTAGGTGGATCAACAAACTGATGTTTCTCTCTCTCTCTCTCCTCCCTTCCCCCTACTCTCTTAAAAAAAAAAAAAAAAGCTTAGTTTGAGTGGGACTTGATTTTAAGATAGTTTATGGTTTTCTACTCCAATTAAGTAAATGCTGTAATTTCACCGAAAGTGGCATCTGAATTAAGTATGCAAATATCTTCCACAGGACTTTCTTTTCACGTACTCCCCCACTTTCTCCTCCTAGAGTCCTCCTCTGCTCTGTCCGGCTTAAACGCTGCCTCCTCCTTTTCCAAACCTTGGCCCACCTGGCCCTGCCTCACCTGGGTGCCCACAACATGACACTGCCTGTCACCGCCTGCCGAGCAGACCTCTGCCACCCTGTCTCCCTATCCGGCAGCCGTCCGACTCTTCTTCACAAGCCCCGAGGCTGCCAGTGCCCGGCACACACCGGGACTCCGCCACCTGTTACCGAGTCCACCACGTGCACCTGCCACAGCTGACAGCACAGCAGGCTTCTGAAAGCAAGGCTTGTTTTTCATGGCACAAAAAACAAAGCTATTATTTTAATAGTAGCTCAGAAGGACAGTAGGCCTATCATTCTTTTTAAAAATAAACTTAAAAGCCCTAGTTGGTTTGGTTCAGTGGATACAGCATTGGCCTGTGGACTGAAAGGTCCCTGGTTCAATTCCGGTCATGGGCACATGCCTAGATTGCAGGCTCAGTCCCCAGTAGAAGGCAGCCACTCAATGATTCTCTCTCATCATTGATGTTTCTATCTCTCCCTCTCTCTCCATTCCTCTCTGAAATCAATAAAATATATTTTAAATAAACAAACTTAAAAAATAAACTTTAAGTGGAAAATAAAATTCAAAGTGGAAGCTGAGAGATTTTAAGTTTGGCTCCTTTGTCATTTTTTTTTTTTTTAAGTCAAGGATAAAATCCAGATTTTTGGCTTCTTGCAAACATCAGAAGTTCTACAACACAGGCCCACGTTCTGCACAGCCAGTTTTGGGAACTGGGGTTGAGTGACACCGAGTCCCTGCAACACACACACACACACACACACAGACACACACACAGACACACACACACACGCCAAGGGGCGTGGGGGAGGCCAGGCCCACTTGGCTCGGGGTCCTCACTACCTGCAGGCATGTGCACTTCAGTCGGCCCCAGGGTCCAGCCACACTGACAAATGGCACAACCTGACAGCTGTCACTGCTCTGGGAGAAGAGTGGCACGTACCATGAGGATAGGCGACACAAGAGGCACATCCCTTAGACACAGCAGCAGCTGCCATGAGTCCAAAAAAACTTGCGGAATTCTTCTCAGTCCCATTTGCAGAGGGGGTGAATGGCGCGTCCTTCAGATACTTCTTCAGACTTTCATAAATAGCAAAGCAGATGACAGTTTCTGAGATACCCGCATACGAGGCAGTTAATCCCCGATAGAAGCCACGAATGCCTTCCGTCTGGTACACGTGGCGCGCGCACTGGAGCGTGTTCATCTGCTTGCAGCCGCGCACCCTGTGACAGAGACCAAGGACAGGCCATCAGACCATGAGTGAGCGGGCTCCACAGACACTCGCCGGATGGAAGGCAATCAGTGGGCGACACGTGTCCTCCCCGCATGGAGGGCAGCTGTGCCCGGCTCACGGCGAGCCCAGTCCACGGGCTGGGCCACCCGGCCGGCCCACAGAGAATGTGCGCCCGTACAAGAGTCACAAGAACACGCTCACAGCCTCTGGCCCGAGTTTGGAAAGAGTTTCGTGGAGGAAGACATTCCTCACAGAGAAAATCTAACTGGCATGATCAAGTCCGTCCTAACACCTAAAGAGGCGCAGAGAGGTAAACTGGGCACCAGGCCAGAGAGGAACTGCCGTGCAGGCGGGAGGCAGGCAGTGCTGGGGGGAGGCGGGCAGTGCTGGGGGGAGGTGGACAGTGCTGGGGGAAGGCAGACTAGCTGGGATGGGAGGCACAGTTACAGTTATGGTGCAGATGTGTTTTAAGACGTCACTTGAAGGAAAACCCGCCAGCCTTCGGCAGGGAGGAGAGTGTGAGGGCGCTCTCAACCCTGAGGTAATCGAGATTCATCAAAGGATTCTAAGCAAATGATATATTCAAAATTATTAGAACTGCTGCATCTCAGAAGGTTCTTTCAGGCAGGATGGGACGGGGAAATGTGGAGTCAAAGGCCAATATTGAGGCTACTGTGGTCACTGGAGAGGAAGAACAGCCACAGCCGCCCCCCCTGCCCTTACAGGGGTTCCTGCTCTCTCCCCTGCCCTTTCTAGCAGCTTAAGTTGGACTGGATGAGCTGGAAGTTTCCAGTGCCCCACACAGTTACACAGGGCTCTTAGATCGAATCCTATCACAAACCTCACTTCCCATCACTACTCCTCTGAAATCACAGTAGTTATTGGGCCACGGCTTGACTTAATATATTAAGTAGGTATATTACTATATCGTAATTTTAAAAAACATTAATAACTGCATTTCAGCAACTGGTTTCCATGGCTTCTACTATTCTAAAGGGCCTGCAGACTTCGCCGGACCACCAAAGGAATCTGCAGGCTGCAACGGGTTTTAGGCAGAAACCCGAATTTGAGGGCCTTGCAGAGAAAATGGCCCTTCCCAGGCCTGGAGGCATTCGCTGCTCTCCCTCATTGTAAGGCGCCTTTCCGCCCGAAAGAGAAGCATCTGGGAGAGTCCCCAGCACTGCAACTGGGGTGGGGCCTGCCAAGCGCAGGGACCCCCGATGGTCTGCGGAGGTCAGCACTGCACACCAGAGCGAACTTGTGACCACCTCTGCTGGTCTTTGTCCCCACAATGCTTGACAGCACGACTCTCCAAGCAAAAGGAGCTGCTGTATGCTCACATTCAGAAAGAACAAGACTGTGTACTGCACTCCACAGGGAGCTGGGGGAGAAATATCCCCAAGAATTCTTATGTTAAGGAAGCAACAATCAATAACTTACTTCCGTTCTAGCTGCATCCGGGTTTTAACCATCCATATAGGATTCATTAGGGAATTTGTGACAAAAGCTGGAAGAAAAAACACACCAGAAAATGTCATCACTGAACACAGCCAATGCTGATTAAAGCCGTCTATTCCATCTGAAATCAGGCTTTCCATGGTTTCATAGTAAAAATGGACAGTAGGAAGCAGGACATTTCTGTATCGCACAGGGAGCTCCAGTCCCTAACGTGTAGCTTCTATTGGCAAGCTGGACCTAAAAGTCTCTCCAACTTCTGGAGCCTGACTAGGTTCCCAGCCTGCAGGTGGTGCTGTTGGTGTTTCTGTCAATGTGATGCCCGCGGTGAACATGAACCACGCTGTAACTCCATTTATAAGCATCAGATCCAGAAATAATGTGTTTTTAAGGGAAGCTGCTGTCTTAATCCAAAAGGTTGCCTTTTATCAAACTTAAAATAAAAGGAACTAAATCTCCATGTAACTGAAGCCAAAGGCAGACATTTTATTAGCCACGAATGTTTCAGGAAGTGAGGTTTCACCATCGATCTGTGTCTTACAAGAACCATTTGCTAGTCAGTCTCCCATCTCAACACGGCTCGTCGCTCCGGAGCAACAGAGCAGAGCAGAGCCAGGCACAGCCAGTGACCCTCCTGTGACCTTGCCCTCCCCAGGCCGGGCACAGCATCAGGGAGAGGAACCCGGGCGAGGCTGAATCACGGCTGCAGGTTTGCTTTAGGTCCCGAGGGTTCTTCTAAGCCTGATAACCAGCATTGAGGTTATAGCCAACCCCTATCGGCCTCAAAGTGCAGGCTCCTCGGAGCTGCGCACTCAGCACACGCCTTTCTTGTTAACATTGGTTCCGAGGGTCCAGAGCAGCCTCTGTAACTCCTCAGAGGGGCTGCTGGTGCTTTATTTGAGTAGAGAGGTGCATACACTTACAGGCTGGCAGAGGCGGAAATTCCTTATAAAATGCCAACTGAAGTTCTCTAGAATACCTTTCTCGTTAAACAGACATAAACATAAATCTGTAAGGCTTGGCCTTCTCTCTGCCATCTACAAGTCCATGCTTTTGTGGCCAAGCATTTCCTGGGGGGAAACCCTGTTATAAGTTTCCTATAGTGAGCAGGATGACTCCCTCATGAGGAACGCTCTCTGGCCTGTTCCGGTCCCACTAAAAGCCCAGTGATTAGGACAGAGTGCCAGCTGTGCACAGGGTGTGCTGGGCACCAGGAGTCATGAGAAAAGGAGCTTGAGCTTTAGAAAGCAATGTCATGAAACAGACATGAAAATTCCTTGGAAAGAAGCACTGCACCCAACTAGCATGCGTGGGACATGTACATGTTGAGGCAGAATAAAAAGCTTTAGTGGCCAAAGAGATAGGAACAGGTTACAAACTGATCTTAGACACATTATTTTATCGGCTCTAACATAAAGCGTTAGAAAAATGATTTCAGATGGAAAAGAGGCAGAGAGCTCATTTCTAATTCCAAGAAAAGGCTGTTGGGCACAACACATGCTTTCTCCACCCACGGGTAATGGGTAACATACCTGCAGAGCCAGCTGAGAAAATGTGCACAGTGTTGCTGTTAGGCACGAAAATGCCATTGAACTGCTCTTTGGCTTTGGAGTAACATGCAAAGTACACAGCCCTGTCAGAACAAAGGGAGAGCGCGGTAAGACATCGGCACACACTGCCAATAGGATGTCCCTCCGCAACCTCTGAAACGTCAGGTAAATAACATGGGCAAGAAGTTACCACGTAACAAAAGCTCGGCTTATCCGTGCTAAACTCAAACCTGCTGCAGACTCCTTCAGAAGGTCCTGCTCGCCCCCCAGAGAGTATACGGTGGAGGGAAGAGTCCAACATACGGAGGAAAATGAGCCTTTGGTAATATACGTGCAAAGTCCATTTATAGTCTTCATTCTGTTGGTGCCAATCCTTTGAGCACCAACATATACTGTAACATTTAAAATGTGTAGTACATCTAAAATATACCACACTCGTCCTGCCTCACACCAACATGAGCATGTGATTGGGGGAGGGGCAATGCTGCTGACCACACTCACTCACTTAGAGAAGATCCAGGGATAAGAGGAGACTCATTTTCAACTCAGTACAATAACTAGAATCTCTTTCTCACCATGAACTAAAGACACACCAACAGTTCTCACTATTCCCATTTGTCAGGTGTGTTTAGGCAAATCCTGCACAGAAGAGACTGGCCACCTAGCAGTACGGCCCTTCCGTGGGAAAGGACTCAGGACATCACATCCGTATGAAGGGAGCCAGCTGAAAGTTCAATGCTTACCTTGATGGTGCAACTCCAACCAAATTTGGACCCAAGCCTCTAAAAAGTGACTTTGGTCCCTCCTTCTCCAAGATCGACCTGAATAATACAAAAAAGATCCAGCTTTAAAGACCTTAGGCAAGGTCTATGCAAAGCCAAGTGTCAGCCTTCCGTTAGCGCCTTGCCTAAAGATTAATAGGTTGTTGCACGGCCGACGTGGTTTGGTGGCTGAGTGTCCACCTATGAACCAGGAGGTCACAGTTTGATTCCCAGTCAGAGCACATGCCCGGGTTGCAGGCTTGACCCCAGTCGGGGTGTGCAGGAAGCAGCCGATCAATGATTCTCTCTCATCATTGATGTTCCTCTCTCTTCCCTTCCTCTCTGAAATCAATAAAAATATTAAAAAATTAAAAAAAGGTTAATAAATTGTTTACAAGACCCCAGGCGAATTTACGATTATATTACAACACAGAATCGGAAGGCTGAAGAACACAGCTGCAGTAACGGTGAAAATCTGCGCTTCAGTAGCATCAGTCTGACATGTTTGCAAGAAGCTTTTTCCTTGTTCACGCAGGAGCAAGACACTTAAGGTTTATACGAGGAGACCCTGTAGGGACAACGAGCACTGGCGAAGGGGCTGACCCCGGGACAAGGCCCCACTATAACAAGGTCCCTGAGAAACACGTTCAGAGAGGTCTCTGGATGGGACTTCTTCTGGATTTACTCCTTATTTATGGTAACCCCATCGTCTCGATGTTTACTTATTGTGGGCAAGCCCTAAACAGATGTAAGAAATAGAAAAGGCTTAGTAATGTCATGGGCTGGATGGAAAAGCCTCGTACCTCAAGTCCAAAGAGAATACTGTGCCTGCTTTTTCTTTTTAATGTTTTTCAGTGTGGTAACATATATGTAACATAAATTTTTACCATTTTAACCATTTTAAAATGTACAGTTCAGGGGCATTAAGTGCATGCACACTGTTGTGCAACCATCGCCAGCATCTGCCTCTAGAACTTTTTCATCTTCTCAACTAAAATTCCATACCCATGGCACACGAACCATCCATGCCGCCCCTCCCCCAGCGCTGGGCACCCACCATTCTACTTCTGTCTCTCTGAACCTGACTGCTCTAGGGCCTCATGGAATCTCACAGTATTTGTTCTTTTGCGACTGGCACATTTCACTTAGCATAATGGCTCAAGGTTCGCCATGATGCAGTACGTGTCAGAATTTCCTTCTTTGTAAAAACTGAGTAACATTCCATTCTATAAATGGGCCGCATTTTGTTTATCCATTTATCTGTCAATCGACACTTGGGTTGTTTGCCACCTTTTGGCTACTGGGAAAATGCTGACATAAATGTCCAAATATCTATTCAAGTCTCTATATCCAGAGATGGAATTGCTGGATCATATGGTAATTCTAGGCTTAATTTTTTGAGAATTGGCCATACTATCAACCACAGCAGCTGCACCATTTTACATTCCTATCAACAACACACATGGGCTCCAATTTTTCCATATACTTGCCAACATGCTTTAAAAAATAATTGTTAGCCAAAACCGGTTTGGCTCAGTGGATAGAGCATTGGCCTGCGGACTGAAGGGTCCCAGGTTCGATTTCAGTCAAGGGCATGTACCTGGGTTGTGGGCACATCCCCAGTGGGAGATCTCGTGCAGGAGGCGGCTGATCGATGTTTCTCTCTCATCAATGTTTCTAACTATCTCCCTCCCCTCCTCTCTGTAAAAAATCAATAAAATATATTTTAAAAAAAACCTGTTAAATATAGTTTCTGGTCAACAGTGACTAAGACAATCCTAAAAGCATTAGAACATTCTTTAGAAGCATAATCCCCACTGCAACATAATTCTTTAAGTTAGTTAAGTTTCTTTTTTTTTTTTTTAATGTATTTTTATTGATTTCAGAGAGGAGAGGAGAGGGAGAGAGAATCCTTGCCAGTTGCTTCCTGCACGGCTCCTACTGGGGATCGAGCCCCCAACCTGGCATGTGTACTGACGGGGAATCGAACTGTGGCCTCCTGGTTTAGGTCAGTGCTCAACCACTGAGCCACTCCGACTGGGCAAATTTACTCTTTTCAATGGCTCGGTTTTCATGGTATCCAAGAGAATTTACACTGTTAAATTAGAGTCCTCTCTAATTCAATCTCCTTTTCTGAGAATTTACTTGGTAATTAGTACTTCCAATTTGACAGCATTCTAAGTTGGCCAAGCTCAGAAATAATCACATTGTTTTCAAAAGAGTTTATATACTGTTTTACCTTCATTATGACACTGAAGGTAAGATAAAAAGACATCTTTCACTTCATGGAAAAGATATTCCTATAAAACTAACAAAATGAATCCTGTCAATTCTAACTCTACCAACTTTGACTTTTCACACAGAGAAAAGGTTTCCAAAACAAACCTGAAATTTTTGGTGCAAAAGAGCTTAAGCTGATGCTTTAGTCCTTGGCATGCTAGTCATGTTCAAGTTTTCTCCATTTGTAGTTTTCGCTCCTGTTCTTTCCTTCCCCAGAGCAGTGTAATTTTCATGATCTAGATTCCCAGCCTCTCCTCTCCATGTTTTTTGATGTTTATAAAATAGTTCAATTGCTTGATGAGAAAGAATATTTATACCTTTAAGAGCTTTCTTAAAAAGCAGCAGGCTAGCAATTATAAAAGAAAAAAAGAAATAAAAGGTATCTAGATTGGAAAGTAATCTGTCTCTATTCACAAACATATTATATATAGAAATACTAAAGAATCCACTAACAATTACTATAATAAACTAGTTCAGCAAGGTTGTAGGATACAAGATCAATGTACACACACACACACACACAAAACGCCTAAACAATTGTATGTCTACACAGAAGCAATGAATAATCTAAGCATGGGAATAAGCAGCTATTCCATTTACAGCAGCATCAAAAGAATGAAATACTTATCTATAGAGAGACAAAATAGACGGGTGGTTGCCAGGGGATGGCGGAGGAGGAATGGGGAATGACTGCTCATGGGTATGTGTTTCTTCCTGGTGTGATGAAATTGTTTTAGAATGAAGATATGGTGATGGTCATGTAACTCTAAATATACTAAGACCCGCTGAACTGTATACTTTAGGAGGACAAATTGTATGCTTCTGAATAATATCTCAATAAAGCTACTACACTACAAAATATTAGGGAGACAATAGTTATATTTTCTAACCATAAAATATTTTCCTTGCTGGCAGGTAGAAACTCAGACCCTTTAAATTAGGGGTGGGGAATGTCCGGCCCACGGGTGAAATCATTTGGTCTGGCCCTGCAAAGGCACTAGGGGTGAGTTAATTAAATGTTTGACCCAATGTAGCAGGCTAATTTTTAAGGCAGTAATTTTGCATGGCCCACAAACGTTGTTATATCCAAATGGCCCTTGGCAGAAAAGGTTCCCCACCCCTGCTTTAAGTGCTCCCAAGACACACTGTTGTTTGTGTGGTCCAGAATAAACCCTCTGGCCACCCTACGTGTCACATAAAGGTACTTTGTTGGACACACTAGACAACCAGGGAGGCATATCTCACTAAAGGACAGATTTCTTTTCTCTTTTCATCGCATAAGGGCAAGGTCAAAGCAATGTATTTAAAATAAGACCTAGCCATAATAATGGAATGTTATTTGACAGTAACTACAAGGGAAAGAAGCCAGACAGGAGGCCATAAACACACTGCATGACTTCATTTATATGCAAAGTCCAGAGGAGACACCCCTAGAGACAGGAGGTAGGTTAGTGGTTGATTGCCTAGAGCTGGGACCTGGGGTGGGGAACGGGGAGTGACTGCGAATGGGTGAGGGCCTTCTTAGGGGAATGACACGTTTTAAAATCACATTGTTGTGACAGTTGCGCAAAACTATGTGAGCATGCTAAAAACAGTCAACTGTCTGCTTTACATGGGTAAGTTGTATGTGAATTACATGTTAGTAAGCTGTTTAAAAAACCCTGCAGGGAGAAAAAGAAAGAAAGGCTCACTAAAAAAGCCAGAGATCAGCATGAACAGAGTTTTAAACAAAATTTAGTTCTTGTGGTAAATCAATCATTTACAAAAGATAACGGAGAAAAGTGAAATATAGACTGCAGATGAGTTAAAAAAGCAGAATATCAAGCCCTGGCCGGTGTGCTCAGTGGTTAGAGTGTTGGCCCGCACACCAAAGGGTCTCAGGTTCAATTCCCAGTCAAAGGCATATACCTGGGTTGCGGGTTCACTCGCTGACCCTGGTAGGGGTGCGTGCGGGAGGTAACCAGTCGATGTGTCTCTCTCACATTGATGTTTCTCATTGTCTCTCTACCTGACACCACCCTCCCCCCCTCCCAACACACACACACACACACACACACACTCTCTCTCTCTCTCTCTCTCTCTCTCTGAAAAAGCAACAGAAAAAATATCCTCACATGAGGACTAACAATAACAACAACAAAAAATAGTATATCAGTATTAAATTTCTTGAATTTGAAAACCGCTGTGGTTTTAAGATAATACCTTTATTCTTAGGAAATAAATGCGGAAGAATTAAGGGAAATGGGGCACAATGTGAACCTATTTTCAAATGGTTCAGAAAAAATATGGATGTATACAGGACAAAATGCCAACACAAATGTGGCAATATGTTAAAAAATCTGTGACTCAAGATCAAGAGTATAGCAAGTTACTGGTACCATTCCTCTAACTTTTCTACAAGTTTGAAATTATTTCAGAAAAAAATTCTTTAATAAAAATAAGTTATAGGCAAGCTATAGGTTATAAAAATATTGAACTCATGATTATAGCCCAATGTTACGGGAACAAGGGCTGGGTAAAGGCAATTGTTAGGCTCTGTAAATCAAACCCCCAAGTGAAGGTCATGGAGTTGCAGTGAGTTTTCACACCAGCCAAAAACAAGTCACTGGGCCCTTAGCAGAGGCATGAGAATTAGCTTTTTCAATTTTAAATACTTGACTTCCATCTTTCTTACCACAGGCCTGATTTAAAAAGCTATGCTCTCTGAGCAAAATCTTTTCTTAAATAACACCTGCAGGTGACCTACACCTTCTAGCCTGTAAGACTTGTCAAATGGTCAG